GATGCTTAATAACACATACAATACACTAGTAGAATTTATCATTCAGTAGATATCAAAATTAGATTCAGTGTGATTTAATCCCTCAGACCTTGCAATATAAATTAGTTTTTAATGATAATGATAGATTTTATAAAGCGCCCCAATATTATACAATACTCTGCGGTGCATATAATGAGTGATAGTGGTAAATATAAGAAATTACAATAGATTTGAAATAACTTAAGATTACAATAAAGTGTCTAGAAATAACAGTATTTACAATAAAAAGACACTTAGAAATTAAATGCTTGTTCAAAAAAATAAGTTTTTACTGCCTTCTTGAAAACAGTTATGATCTTAGATTGTATAAGATGCGGCATTTCCAAATGCTCTAATTCTTTATACATGTGGTAATTTTTGGTTCGTATGTTTCAAGAGGAGGAATAGCGACGAGTGCAAAATGAATTTCCAGGTTGGACACCCTCAAATGTAAAATAAGGGTGTCCTCATGTTCTTATTCCATATTTCTGTTGTTAACTGAATTCAGATATGACAAAAACGATTGAGTACCTTAGCAATGTCTACGGTTGAGTACATACCCTTGGAATAAAAAGTACATACCTGTGAACTATATCAAAACAAGGTTTTACAAATCAAAACAATTAGCTATTTATGAAAAGTTGGGTGAAGCGAAAATCCTATTAGAATTAAGAATAGTCTGCAAGAGAAGGATGAAATGGTTCGGGTTATCGAGTAGGGAATGCTCAAGGGTAATGGAAAACAGCTCAAATTATCGAGAGTTCGTGTTAAATGGAGTTCGACTCATCAGGGGTTCGATTAATCCAACTTGAAGAATGTACGATAGATATGATTGGGGTTAGTTTCTTTAGAAACATGATACAGTGTAGAAAGAAGCATGATACAATATTATTGAGAATTGAAAACATTTTAAGCTTTGACCGTTTCGAATTTTCTTATAAGAAAATACGTATATTAAAGGAAGAATGTTACACAATTATAATAACACAGGAAAGTTGATGCAGAACTATGTTAGTGATAGATGTATTCAGTCCTCCCCCTCCTCCCCCCAAATTTCCAACATTCTTTGGAGCCTTTGCTATAGTACCGTACGAGAAAGTTCTTATGTTGGGCTGTGTTGAGACAAATTCACAACATTAACAAAATGCCAACACTTCTTGACAACAAAATGTCTTTACAAGCCTTGTGGTAACAAATCTCTTGCCATTGATACGTTATAGAATATTCGGCACACCTTATAATACCACTAACAAACCGTTCATTCTACGAGGAGCTAGTTCGTTATAACACTTTATATCTGCAATGCGGTCGTACCTGCATAATTTTGCTTTCACGGCTTCAAACAGTGGGCAGCCAATTAGACAGTCGATTGTGTAAGAAAATTGAATTTCTTTACAATATTAAATTGTAACATATTTTCAAAAACCTCTTCCGTTTTACAAAGCTTCTAAACCAACAGGTCTCTCTTATTTCATATATGTTTGGTTTGAGTGCAATGCTGATGCCACCCTGGGTATGTTGTGTAACAAAAGAACACTGTTCAGCATTTACAAGACAGCATTTCAAGAAGTTAAGCAGGGCTAACCAGACTTCGATCGAGGGGCAATTCACTTTTGTAAATAACGTACGAGATTTCCGAAAAACAAAAGGATTTCCAGAGATTTTCAAATAAAACAAAAGGATTTCCACCAAAGGTAATTGAGATTTTTGTGGAGAGAATTGACCAGGGTTGGGCAATTATCTTTATTTACAAGGGGACCACATGAGGAACCTGAATTGTGTTTCAGGGCCGAACCAGCTGTTACTGGTAACCAGATATAGATACTACGTCAATATCTAAATAATAAAGATATGATGAAGATATGATGTAGGTAAAGTGGAAAAGTAGTCCAACAAAAGTATCTTCAAAAAGAGACAAGATATTGCAAATAAAAGAAACAAAACTGTATAGCATGAGCATCATAACACAAATTTTAAATATTTTTTTAATTCATGTTCTGAACAACGGACACCTCATTGCGACGGACACCTCCTACCTAGCAACGGACACCTCGCAGCAACGGACACCTTTTACAAAAACTCAGTACAAAAATCCATTAATAATGGCAATGAAAAAGCAAACATTTGAGTATACTGAAGCTTTTCGTCTGAAACTACATTCTCGCCTTTATAGCATCTTGGTCTTGCAGATCAAAAACAACTAGTAAAACATGTGACTCTGCCATCAAGCAGCCTTCGCTAGACCTCCCCTTATATTATCATTAGGCAGGAAGCACTAATTGAGCAATCTTTATAGTTAGTTAGCCAAACCATATTGAGACACAATCTTTGTTGGAATAGCAGCAGTTCTTTTCCAGGAGTGGTGCGATGTTACTTGCAATTAATAAATAATATAAATAATAATACAGTTCTTTAAACAGGGGTTGTTCTCTAAAAAGAAAACATTAAATAAACCTAAAAAATAAACTAATTACAATAAAAAATAAGAGTTAGCTGCAACAAAAAGTTTTTAACGAAGTTTTCTAAGTTCCCTAAGTAAACTATCCTCTTCCTTTACATATTTCTTACGATAAAAAAGTGTTCTTTTAACTTTGTTTAAAAATTAAAATTCATTCTCGCACTACCGCACTACCCAAACATTGGAGGATAGAATAAAACAACATGTTCCGTCTAATATTAGAAACAAAACTCATCCTCGGTCTTGCAGATCTAAAAGTACAACTAAAACCTGCGATTATGCTATCGGGCAGCATTTACAGGAAAACCTAGATTGTGCTATAAACTATTACGGCGACATGTTTCGGATTATTGGTAAAGCCCGATCGTCGTTCCATCTAGCAGTTTTGGAATCTATCTACATAAGCACGAAAAAATCGCTTTTATGTAGAGAAAAGGAGTTCGTTTTCACCCTAGGACTCCATTGGTTACATTCTTTATAGGCAAGCAGCACTGATTGGTCAACCTCAACATCGCGTTTCTGATTGGCCTATTTCAATCCACAACTGGGTATATATTTCCTACCGTAGAGTTTTCGACCTATGTTCTGATGTTTTAAACCAGGGGTCGGCAACCCGTGGCCCGCAAGGTACTTTTGTGTGGCCCGGAAGGCCCTTGTTAACCTGTAAATAATTTGGCCCAATGCACGAATGTCGGCTCGGATTCAGTGATCCTAGATTCTTGTCTAGATCAGCATTCCTCGTTGTCACTACTAGTCACTCGAACAAGCTGAACAAGAAGCTTCAAGGCCATGGTCAATTTGTGAATGTTATGTATGAGTATGTTGTGATGTTCCTGCTTATGCTACATTTTTGGAAAACGCGGCTGAATCAAGGGAACTTTCCATAATCAAATGGAGTTGATCGAGCTGCAGGGTACCAGTGAATTGAAACAGAAATACAAGGAAATTCATAGCATCCAGTTTTATATGGAGTATCTCCATGGTGGATGATGATTCATATCCAGGTCTGGTGCAGCATGCCAAGAAGATGCGTTGCATGTTTGAGAGTACTTACCTTTGCAAAAGTCTCTTCTCAAAGATGAAGCAAGCGAAGAGTCGACTGCGATCTCAAATGACTATCAACATAAACATTCGGCTGTCAACATAAACAATTCTGCCAAATAAGTTGGCCAAGGACATGCAGCGCCAAGTTGCGCATTAGCTTCTTGTAACATAACATACTGAACAGTGAACATTACCCTGGGTACCAGACTCACTATATATAAAATAAAATAGAGAGTGTGGTCTAGTGCGCCCCATTCTCGTTCTGGTGAACTTACTTGAAAGAACTGAAGTCTATTTAACAGACTAGGCCAGTGAAACAAGACTGTCGGATAAATAACAAAGATACTCAGTAGTCAGAGAAGTTTTAGGAAATTTTAAAGCAAATGTATTTTATATAGTTCTGTAAAGTCGACATTATTAATACAGTGATAATAGAATTTGCTATACAGTGATAATAATACAGTGATAAAAGAAAAAAACATGTGCGAAGCATGAAATTAAAGTTAGCACATTGCAGTTATTAAATGTCAATCATTGTTAAATTTCGTATACAACTTAAAATAAGTCTTTAGTAATTTTCCTCATAAATTGTGTGTACTTTCAAAGTCTACTTCCTCACTGTGAAGGCAGCGCGCTTGGACACCGCGGCGGTTAGAATCATCACGTTTGAAGTTCATCACATCAAATGTGGCCAATACGACAAGCGAAGCCCTGTGTGCCGGGCGAAATATTAGCCATAACTGAATTATTGAGTTTGTTGTTGTTTGTTCTCGGCACCTTGCGGTGTTTCTTATTTACTGCATTTCACTACAAGGCCTAATTTCTTTGCAATGAGAGGCACTGCCTGAAATATCAGAGACTTTCCAAAGCCAGTTGGCAATATGGCGAAGGTGTCTCTTCTCTCTACAAACAAGGCTTTTAATGCTGTTCTGTGTTAAATTCCACAACATGCGGAAAATATTCTTTGAGGGCAGTTTTAACAGCATCTTCAGACTCAATCGTTACGGTCGCTAGCATTTATTTATGTTGTGTTCTGTTCAATGTTTTACACCAGAGCTACGTTTACTGTTTCGCTGTGACCTTTGAACGTACAGAAATCTGTACACTCGCTCCTGATTGGTTAATATCAGCACACCAGAACGAGAATGGGGCGCACTAGACCAGACTCTCTATTTTATTTTACATATAGTGAGTCTGGTACCCAGGGTAAGTGAACATGTACTTTACATCTATCTTTGTATTTACGAACTGCTTCCACGTTAAGTACATTTACCATTAAATACAATTTTATTGATAAGATTAGCAGTTAGGTAGAATAGGTATATATTAGAATTTAGAATTATACTGTATTTTGAGTTGCAGCCCTGGTATGCATGTCAGAAATCAACTTTGGCCCCCTGTTTTATAAAGGTTGCCGACCCCTGTTTTAAACTCTGAAGAGTATCAGACAAAAAGCTTCTTGTACCATGTCTTGTACCATCAAAAGATAATTTGCAAAAATCCATTAATTTGCTGCGTTTTTGTATTGTAATTTAGACCAGTTCATTGGTGTTAATCTAGTTGTAAGGATGATTATGATCCATTGCAATGGAATTTTGGAAAATGCTCGAGTGTCATAACAGGAAACATTACTGCTAGCGAAGCAGCGAGCACTTTTCGTAAAATGACGTAAAAATGAGTGACACGGGATTGGGTGGAGGCTATAGTTCTAGTCAAGTTTTTACTTGATATAATGATACAATAACTAAAAAGCACAACTTTATTGATTTTGTAAAGAGCAATGAAATTGTATTTCCTGGTAAAATGTCTTAATGCACCAAATACCGGTTGACAACAGAGACCCATCAAAGGGAAACATGAATAAATGAAAGGGATATTAATTGAGACATTCAGAAAGAGAATGAATCGTTTGATGGCTACATGTCAAGGAAGATAGTAGCCAATTTTGAAGGGGAATGGTCTAACTGGCATAGCCGTGGTTTCGCTAAAGAAAGAAAATGTATAAACCCAATGCTATTAGTTTGGTTTAAAAATATAACAGAGTTTTGGCCATCATAATGAAATTGCCTTTAAGCCTTCGTAGCTGTGCTTTGTTGTATACAACATATTTCCAGTAACCAACTATCTTAAGAAAACTTCATTTAGGCCATTTAATAAAATAAATTGTTTACTTAATTGTACATATAATCCAACGTCTTCCAAAAGCTATATGATTTAATTTGCAATGGTGGCTTAACTCTAATAGAATCAGTTTGTCTGGATTATCGAACAGGACAATAAATACAGAAATTAAAACAGGTCCGCGGTAGAAATTTTATAACGGCCAGATATAAATAGTAGTCTTTTCGAGAAACACTAGACGTGGATGTGGGAAAAAGCCAAGGCAGGGGGCTGATAATGTTGGTTGAGAAAAAGGAAGCAAATTATGCATAGAAGCATTTATCAGATGGTGACGCCAACTAAAGAAAATTCATTGAGTGTATCCAACAGGTGATGAAAATTCTTAATGTGTAAGGTGTTTGATGACAGTGGTCAGCTAAAGTTCTAAACGTCTTATTAACATTAAGAACTAGTGATCATGAAGGTATATCAAAATAATTCAAAATAAACTCTATGCAGTTGATTAAAATCATCGTTCAATAGTAACAATCACTTCCTTATCCTGCAGGAAATCAATTAGAGATGATGCACTAAAGAATAGTTTTCATGAAGAGGCAAACACAATGTTTTTGATCAGAAGATGAGCAAGAGAGAACCTCTTAGTGCCGAGGTGGCAATAGAGGAAACCTTGGGGTGCTTGGCCCAACGTCAGAGCATGCTAGCACCTCCCATTAAAACTGAAAATCAATCTCATTTTATCACCCTGGGGTGAGAAAGGCCTTTTGAACCCCTTGAGATGAAGTCAATAATCTGCTACGGAAAGTTTCTGGAGACATAACACTAGGTTAAAGCAGTCAAAGTGGACATCTCCGTTAAGACCGAAAACAGAAAAATAGATATTTAAATTCAAATTATGATGGCATACTTGGAAAACCAAAATTAGTTGGCAAAAAGAAGCGTATGGCAATTTCGCATCGAATATTGAGATTTTCTTGAAGGATAAGCTAAATATATTTACACAGTAATGGAATGACAATGTATGAATGTGAATTAATGTACACAGGTAATGATTTATGGGTAGTTACGTAAATTTTGCTCCACATAATGAATAACAAATTATTCAAAAGGATGATTCATTGGTCCATATACCGGATAAAAGTCTCTTTGAAAGCATCTCCATGATCAATGCAACGGCAAAGCCAATATAAAGATTTCTTCAGATTTTGAAATAGCAGTTGGTAGAAAGTAAAATCTGGGACTTCTAAGCAGTTATGAGCTGCAAATGCCAAGGTTGAATGCTAGTCGTTTGATAACTATTGGTTGATGGAAGGCACTCGAAGCAGCAATGAAAAGCAGATTCTTTATTTCACAAGATGATCTAGTTTACAAAAAGTTCGCAAAGAATGCAGGCAAAAACGGACTTGCATCGATCAATGACTCTAAGTCAAATTGCTACTTTTGCAATGCAAATTGCGCGTTCATATGGTGCAAATAAAAAAGCCGATACAGTTTTGCCATCCTTGATCTTGAAGAGCTAAGAATCTAAAAACCATCTACCAAGCATGCACGCAATTTCTGTGTTTTCCATCCAGATTGAAACGGCATTGAAACACGGCTGCGGTACCTAGACGCTATCATTCTCTGGTGACGTCAAGAACTCTCCATTCACTGATTTTTGGCCTCAGAGTAAGAACATTTCAATGGTACCTTGATATAAGGACACGATGTAGAATGACAACGGAAAGTAGGAACATACCGTGGTTCAAGAGACGAAGTTTGGTCCTGCTTATTCTCCGTTTGTTTTGCTTGCCATTTGGTTCTCCTTTATTTTCTTCTTAATGGCGTATTGGAAAGTCTCTTTCAAAAGCTCTTTACGTTGCTCAGGGAAATGTTCAATACTGAAAAAAATAGGCAGTCAACTCACTAAAAAGCATTGTTTTATGATCTTTTTTATTAATCATATACCAGTGACTTTGAGAATAATGGAGAAAGAATTCTCAAGAGTCAATGGGCGACTACTTGAAGAAAGGAACCTGTTTTGATGATTCACATTTTGGATAGTGTACATAACGATAAACCAATAAAACATTAATTCTCATTCTTTTCTAACGATATGCTAGTAAACTAGTGTCTCTGGATCGAAGAGCAACCAAACGGATCCTCAGTGTTGGCGTCTTAGATATTAGGCTGCTGTAAGTTCAAACTTAAAGATTACAAAAAGTTGTTGTAAATTGTTTCTGCAGTGTAGATAAAACATGGTTCTATATAGGCTGTTTACAGGAGTCTAGTTTTAAGCAATGGAACACAAAATAATGTGAAAGAGATAACCGTGCCATGTAACAAAAGACAGTGAGCTACTGCGACATAAGTCGACTTAGCACTGTTGTCTAATACTTTGGAAAAATAAAATGCTTTTGCCTTAGGAAGGTTTATGTTAAATACCTTGGATGGCGAAGATAAGACGGAGGATCTCTCAAAATGAAATCCAGGCATTTGAAGGTGGAGTTTCAGTGAAAAAAGCAAATACTTGGATGATCTATTTTATCAAAAACAAGATAAAAAATTGCGGATACTGAACGATGAATTTCCTTGAGTAGAATGAAAAGGATCAGAAGGCAATTTAATTTTATAAGAAGAGAAATATGAAGAAAAAAAATTCAAAAGGAAGTTGAACTACACGGCATAAATTGATCCAGCACTGTGTTTGACACTTTAAACTTAGATAAATGACGAAAACACGCAATTTAACGTCCAAAATTGTAGAGTTTAAATCTATATCGTCACAAATCATTCCAGTAATTCCAGTGAAGCGACAAAAAAGGCTTAAAATTGTAATTAAGTGATTATTTCTTCAAATCTTTGCTTTTACTTCCACATTGGTTTCTAAGATTCAGCACATTAGATCACTAGGCTGAGGGAAACAGTAGAATCCCGTTATAACGTACTCGGTTATTACGTACTTTCGGATATAAAGTACCGGTGTGCTTGGTCCCGGCAAAAGGTGTGCTTGGTTTTAGTCAATTTTTACTTACCCTCATTACAACGTACTTTGGATATAACGTACTCAATACGCCGGTCCCTTAAAGTACGTTATAACCGGATTATACTGTACAACTGCTGCGTGGATATCAAAGGCCTTAACCTCCATTCTGAAATGCTCTGTACTTTTCTAAGTGTTGACAGTTGGCCAGTACTGTGTATTAAAGATGAGATGACCTTACCTTTGCAAGTATTCTGTACATTCTTTATGACCATAGCGTACGGCAATCATCTTTGGTGTATCACCATAGTCATCTTTAGCGTTCACTGTTCCCCCAGACTCCGCAAGCAGCCTTATCACTGAGAGATGCCCTCCTTCGGCTGCACAGTGCGCAGGGGTCCAACCCATACTCATACGAGCCGATGGATCTGCACCGCCTTCAAGTAAGAACTTGCAGCAACGAAGATGGCCTAAAATAGAAAAATCACGTCAGATTATTTTCAGAGGAATAACGCTCTGTACTGGAAATCTTTCAATTAAATTTTTATTTTTTGAACGTGCAATCAAATATCTCTTGAACAATAATGGCTAAAGACCACATGATTGATTTTAGTAACCAGCCTTGAAGGCTCGTACTATCGTTTACAGTAAAGGGCAGGTTTATAACAGAATTTACAAACATCTTGCATAGCATCTGAAGAAGATTGATGACTTAATTGATTTTGGTTTTGGGAGTAAATTTGGGCTCTTGGAAACTTAAAGATTTGATGGCTGTGAGTCGAAGGTTGTGAGTTGTTTCAATACAAAATTGATACAAAATAGTCATTCGTAAAAAAAGATTAAGGTTTTGAAGTGTTTCATTAAATCAAAGTACGAAAATTCTAATTGATTGGATATGTATTGTGGGTTCTTTTAAGTTAGCCAGAAAGTCTTTGTAGAAAGATGAATGGTCCGAATTGGCAACCTGTAAATCTCCTTTGCCATCTCTAGCTTATCCTGATCACCTTTGCCACTTTATTAAACGGCAATTATTGAAATAAAATAGTAAGGATAAAGATAAAAGGTTAAGAATCCAGTTTTATCTTTTTTCCCTGTCAGACATAGATCACACTAATCTTTCAAGAAAAGTTAAGGTTTAACGAGCATCAAGTTTTAAATTCTCATCAATCTGACCACCAAGCAAAATTGCGTTGCTCTCTCTTTGCCAAATTGTGATTTTCGATTCAAACTTATTTATACCTTGAAATTTAGAAGCAATAGCAATCGTTTCATCTTATTTAAACCAATTGGTTAGCGATTATATTTTGAAGTTTCAACGATTCATCGGTATCTGGTCTGGTGTGGTGACACATATTGTATTGTCATAAGCAAAATTACACGAAGACCAATCACTGAGGTTGCAAAAAAGTGATCAATCATTAAAAAGAATATGTTCAAGAATTGATCCCTGAGGTACTTCTTGTCTTGGTTAACTTAAGGACCCGCAGAGGGAAATTATGTATAGGAATGTTTAGAGAAAACCGAGAAAGAAAAAGGGTGATAATGCCGAAATAAAAGTTTATAAAACGTTGAAAAATTTCAGATCATTTCAGTTCACCAGAGGGTGGCGTTTGAAAGATAGAGACATTAATTCAAGAGATATGTTTTGAATTTTATTTGATCACAACCACAAAAAAAGAAATTTCTACAACAAATATAATATTTGTTAGAAAAGAATTAGACCTCGAGTGAAAAAATTTTTTCACCTAACATCGTCACTAACTAAGTTAATCTTTTAAACACCGCTTTAAGGCACTGTGTATTTTAGTTGTTGGGGGCGTTTACGTTACATACATTATCTGAATGTGGCGTTTACTTGAAAAAACAATGTGAAGAGTGCGGCGTCTATTTGAGAAAATATGCTAGGAGGAAGAGACGCTGGATATGACCGTCTACCAGAATCTATGAGTCTTGTGATTAATAAGTTTCGATGATAAATGAATCAGGCCTACAGAGAAAAGGGTGCACGTGGGACAGTTGCCCTGGGGCTCGTAAGCAAAGAGGGATACGCTGGTAAATAAACGCTCTATATTTTTAAATATGCCTCTTAATTATATATGGTATTTAAAAATCATATAGGTACTGGGAAAGTTTAACAATGATTCAGGTACCTATCATCCGAAGGTAGTTTTTTGGACACTGAGAAGTTATGCTCTTCGAGCAGTGTCCTGGTCTTCCCTCTTGATCCTTTTGATTCATGGTCCTGCAGTGGTGGCGCCAGGGGAGGGCTAGGGGGGGCTATAGCCCCTCCGTCGGAAGCATCTAGCCCCCCCATCGGAGGAAATTTTAGGTTATTGTCGGAGCATAGTTGATAAAGGACAATGATTTCTATGGTCGGAGCAAATTTGACAAAATAACGTACGAAAACTGCTTATTTTAGATTTTAGCCTCCCTGTCGGAAGCTCCAACCCCTCTGTCGGAAGATTTCTGGCGCCACCACTGTGGTCTTCGCATCGGACCTGGCCCTGGGCACGGAGGCACTACACCGCAAAATGACATAAACTCCCCATAAACTGTAAGTAAACTGAAAATCTGCCTGGCAAACATGGCATTATCAGAAGCATTATATTATTCCACATTTGTACGTAGAATTTCACACTCATTGCGATAACCAGGCAACATAAAATTATAATATGTAATACTACCAAAAAAATTTAAAAACAAGTGAGAAATACCCTCGCCTGCAGCACAATGCAGCGCAGTTCGATTACCGAAGTCTCCATCTTTGAAATTTATATCGAAATTTCCTCTTTTGAGCAAATTGAGGTTGATTACAAGTTTAAAAGCGTCGCCTGCATACGCCGCCTCGTGTAGCATCAGATCGTGAATGACTCGATATTTCACCGGAGTGTGTCCGAAAGTATCTCGGTAAGATGAGAGTGCAAGAAATCGGTTGCTCATCGCTTTAAATTCTGATTTGAGCAAAAATCAACGTTGCCTTTTTGAAGTGAGAGCCTCTGGAAATGTTTAGAGTTAATTCTAAAACTGGTAGATTTGTTAAGATGCAAAAAAGCCCCATAGGATTCAATCTTTTGCAATTTAACTGTAAAATTTTATTAAACGGCCATCTTGGGTATTGAATACAACAAAGCAAAATACCTTTGGGAGAGTTATAATTAGCTTTAATTTGATCAACAGAAAAACACATGCATACAACAAGCGAACACGAGGGTGTTGCTAGCCGTGACAAAAGAAAGGTGTGAAAGATTTTTCAAATGTTGGGGTTCAAGAACGGAGCTGTCTAGTTTCCATACTGCTCGAACTGATGACGTAATTAGTTTACCCTAAACCTAACCCTAACCCTAAACTTAACGCTGAACCTAACCCTAACCCTAACCCTTACCTAGGGGTGTAGAGCAAGGGGGGCTCAGGGGGCTGTGCCCCTCTTGTTGATGCCGAAAACTGGCAGATCACTACTTTTGCTATTGTTTTCGCAACATTTTTGGCAAGAGCTCCCCTTGTTATTTTGATAGCACTACACCACTGGCCTTACCCTAAACCTAACCCTAACCCTAACCCTTTACTTGAAATAATTAATCATATTAATTTATGACTATTAATTGCTTATTTATGACTATCAGGTCGAGCAGTTTGGAAACTAGGCAATTATTTCAAGAACAGAGCAACGTAAGATTATAGGAAATTGCAGTGGCGGCTCTTGCTAATGGGCATCTGGGGCAATGCCCCCTCAAAAAGATTCAAAGGAAATCTATGATATTGATATTTAATTTTGAAGATAGTCTTATTGTGGTTAATTATATAAGTTTGTATCTCTTCTAGAAAAAGCTCCTTGCTATCCCGTTTCATCCTTAGCCTCGCTTCTGGCCCGCTAGTGCCTTGAGCGATGATGTCATTTTACGGGCAAAGTTTTTTTTGCCCCTAGCTGACATGCGCACAATCTAATTTTCGACCTCGAGCATTGCGAAACGCGGCCTGTGATTGGCTTATTTGGAGGAATTCGGGGCAAGAAAAATTTTGCCGATAAAATGACATCATCGCTAACCAACAACCACATCTATATAGGCTTTTTTTCTGCGCTCTATGACGATCAACATCGAACCATGAATACAGTGAAAAATTTGCAAAGTCGACCTTTCTATCGATTATCGCAATATTGATGGTCTGCCCTCCCAACTGTGAAAGTCACGAGCCGTCACTGGGAAATTGGAATAAGAGTGCTTTGCATTTTCTCCCGAATTTTTTCATATGGAATTTTTGACCGCGGGCCAGGACATAGCATCAAACTTTATATTAATGCGGCTAAACATTTTCATGCATACAGTGTTTGCAATTTGCATTCTCAAGCGATATTAAGTTACAAGATACAAAACGATTTCACCGAAAAATAAATTTTGGTAGTGATTTTACATCCCCATTAATTTTTTATGGTTAAATTCTTTGTAGAATTCCGAACTCTTTTCTTTGTACAATCTATCATAGTTAGTATAATCAACTAGATAAACATTACGGGAACTCGAAAAGCTGGGAAAAGATTCTCCAAACAATCGACAAGAAATTATGATTAGTTTTTAAAACGAGGCTGCTTGAATAAAATGGTGCATAATGTGTGAATGGCAGCTGGAGAAGCTAAAAATAAAAAAGATGAAGAGAATCGAAAAATTAGAGAAAGCCGAATTCATTATCTTTTCTGTGTATATCTTTATATTTCTGTGCTATTCACTGGCATTTTTTAGATTAGTTCAATAGGAAATCCAAGTTTTTCTGGTTACAAATGAACTAATTCTTTTTCAAGTCCAACCAAAAATGGGACTAAAGGCTTTTTTCGAATTTTTCAGCAACATAAACAATAGTTCTGACAGAAATGATGCAAAAATTAATCTTTTGATATGGATAAAGCTAGAAGCCATGACACGCTCCGTCTTGTAAGTGAAATTCTGGCACTTTGTCGTATCTTACACAGAGCAAAATTGCGTAAAGTATTCTTCGTTCCACAGAGCAAAATTGTGTAAAGTATTCTTCGTCCATGGATTAATTGAAACCTAAGAGTAGAGCAGTGTTTACACGGGCATGGTGAATAACGTTCCTAAGGCGGGCTTGTAAGAATTTATGTGCAACAGCAAAGACACGTCAATATTTTATTCCGTTTGAGACCGTTTGAGATTATATCTTAAAGAAAGGGAAAAAATGCAACTAGATAAAATACTTTGCAAAAAATGCATTTGACGATTTCTAAATGGGAAAGTTTGACCAGGATATGTATCCTATTTAAAAAGAAACTCGATAGGGGTTGGAGTCATTTTTAAGGTCAAACAAGATCAACAGTTTCATTGACAGAAAGAAAGTAACCATAAAAAAGTGGGTGATCTGGCGTCAAACTGAACCGGAGATTTTCGTTATTTCAAAAAAGGTTTCTAGAATGAAAAGGACCGTCAGTAATTGCCCCTAGATTTTTTATTGTTCACCCTACCTCGTTCTGATGCACAATGCAACGCGGTCCGACTGCCCCAGTCTTCGTCTTTAAAGTTGATGTCAAATTTGCCTCGCTTTACAAAGACCTTTAAATCGTCCAACTTCCTTTCATCTCCTTGTGACGCAGCGTCATGTAAGAGCAGTTCATGGGTAATTAGAGAAGAGTTTTTTCGAGTCGACATTTGTAGTAAAAAGACTTGATCGTAATGTTTGTACTAAATGATCGCAATGCTCAGATCACCTAGTTGAGATGGGCGCTGCTCTAGATTCATGCAGAAAAAATTTTAGTTCCTGGTTGTTAAGTGAAAGTGTATGAAAGACAATCAGTGTATGAAATGACACTGTTAATCGTTGAATCCACAGTTTACATTCAGCATTCCTGTCATATGTTTGGTAAAGAGATATTTGCTTCGAACAGCGTTGTTAGCAAGGATACAGTAGTACTTTCAAGGGAGTATATCACAAATATCTTTAAAAATCGGATTTCAACAGGTAAAATGGCACTTTTCGTAAGTTTCAACACATATAACATGCAGCATTGAATTCCTTCACAACTTCTTTATTTGTTGTAGACTGTATAACATGGGTCTCTAAGAATCCAGCACAATTTAAGAATCCAATCGCCGGGTTCAAACAAACATGAAAACACCCTCTTGAATTTCTAATAAATCAGGTCCTTGAACTTTACCAACCAAATAAGGCAGTGAAATTAATTCTCCTTCCCCCAACCCACGCTTGGTGTCAAATGGATCTGACAGGGGCTAAAACTATTATCGATGTTATTTGAGCCGCTTTCTCTCGACCATACAAACGATAATTAGTTTCGTAGCATATACGTCAAGTTCTTTCATTATACCCTTCCTTTTATTGATTCAACAAATATCTAGTTACAGCTTCCTCTATGATGTTTCTCAGCATTGCTCCGAGACCATTGTCTCTCTCTATATACAGATTTTTGGCGCTCCTTTATTCGTCTGCAGTTTCTCATACACTGAAACCAAAGACAGTTTCACAAGTACGATTACGTTCCTTTCGAGGTAAGCTTAACGAAAGATTGAAAAATCTTCAACTTCTTCTATACGTTCTTCATCAACGATTTGCTGTTCTGGTTGGCACAGAAAACCAATTGCCAAGATTTCAGCGTCGATGATGCATACTGAAACGCACTTGATCTGTTGTTGAGCGCTTTAAGCTTCTTCACTTAACAAAATCTTCCCAGCATTAAAAGCTAAATGTCATCTCGACCGTAAATCTAAAACCAGTGTCAGCGCTAAAAGATCCGAACGAGGCACTGTCTGTTGTGCCTCTTCTCTGTATGGTGCTAACGCCCACTTAAGGTGGCTCGACTCTTTTTGGTGATCTGCTTCGTGAAAAATTCGATGTCACATGGTAGTCGAATTCGATAAAGTTTACAATACAATTGGACACTCCTTAGCCAGAATCTCTTCACATTATATCCACATTTCATCACACTTGCAGACCATAGCGTGCTTAACTTCAAATAAATACATCAATTTTGAATCCATGGAAGAGATTTGTGGCAGGTCGAGTCATCGGCGTGGTCATTTTATGCGAAATAAAAACAACCACAATTATCGATAAACAACAAAAGATTCTCTTTTTCCGTCCCTTGAGATTTAACAAAATTTGGCAATGATTAAATCTCCGTCATTTCTATCGAACTGCTTACTAAAGAAGATACAGTTCCGGCAACAATGGAAATCCGGCAAAGATCTCTAAATTCAATTTTAAGTGCACATAATCCTAACTCGGATTTCAAACGTAAAAACCTTTAGAGTCATGTCCTTTCTCGTCCGATAGTGTTTTGTTGTGTTACTTTGCGTCCGATCGCATCCAAGGACAGAAATATACGTGCCTATAACAAGCTGGGGGTTCCTTCATTGTCGAAGAGAGCGGGAGCATAAGTATCCGGGGGAGCATACTCTTTCCTTAGACTAAAGAAAAGCATAATGTAGAAGAACCAACCGATTCTCCTATTCCTCCAGGGGGAGTCTCCCTACAATCTAAGAATCCAACAAGGAACAAACAATTTACAGTATTGTACCAAATTTTACGATTCTTTAAGATTGCTTAAAATATTCTACAAATACATAATATATTGAAATATTCACAGATAACTTCGTGATTAATATCCAAAATTCTTGCAATCCATCATCGATATATATTTTCAAACTAAATATATAAAGAAAACTGAGCAAATTGAAGAAAAGGAAATATTGTCTTTGGTCATAAAAGACATTGGCTGGCAATCGGTAATGCATCCACTTCAGCTGAAAAGCATACCTTTACAGATTATGACAATGCATCATTGCAATCACAGAGCTAAATGCCAATTGTGATTGCCTAATTATGGCAACAGGGCGTGGTCAAACTTTTATCTTGCTAAAGATAGGCGTACCGAAAGTGCCCTAGAATTGGTTGGCTATGAAGTAACAGTGTTCGCCCGTCCTTTACACAATCCAATACTTGCGTTGCGGCAGAGAAACGCTTAAAATTCTAATAAGTAATAGTTATGGGTTGGAAGAAAATCTATCTTAGCTGATAGGTCGACGAATTAAAAAGAAAACGTTTGAGGTGAAAAGACTTTTCGTACTTTTGCTTCTAGAAATGAATTACCAAAGAAACTATTTATCTCATTGGTGAAGTTAAAGTTACAACGCTTGATTATTAAATCTGTGTTCTTACTAGCTTATCATTAATTTATATGTTTCATGAGCATTTATCATCCATAAAATTAAGGTTGGTTTCTCTAGCTTTTGATCAACTGGCCAAGCAAACCGCCATGTAAAATATTAACTCGTTCATTATTTCATTTGTAATACATCAGCAAAAGTGTTTCTAATAAAATTAAAGTAATGAATATCTATCGTAAGGGATAGGTATCCAGCCATCTCGGAAGATTGTATTGAATAAATAAAAGCATACTTGTAGATCAAACAAATAACATTTTAATCATATAAGATATTCATTCTATATAAGTCTTTATAAGTAATTTTCTTCTTACATTTTAACCCTTTTTTGTTGCATAGAAATCCTGCTTTGGTATTTTTATGTTCTTCATTACTTTTAATGGCTTTATGTAATCTTTCATTGGTTTTGTCTGTTACTGGAAATAAATTTATAACAGCTTTTGTACGTTGAAGTAATTTTATCCAGTTTAAATATTCGTTCAACGAAAGCAACTGAAAACTACAAACAGCCTAATGAATTATACAATGCGTGCAGTGGTTATTATATGCTTCAAAAGAATTTAAAACTATGCGAAAAGATTGAAGATGAGAAACAGAAATTGACAAAAATAATTTTTTTTGTCATCAGCGTATCTGGGTATTTCAGAGTAAAGTTTACGACCCATTCGCAAAGGTAAAAAATAAGACTTTTAAGAATCAACAAGAATAACTAAAATCCGGGTGGGGGATCTTATGCGCCAATAACCCCAACAAATCCAGGGGCTATGAGCTGGGGGCTCATGAGGTTAGCCCCCTTTATTATCCCTAAAATAACTTTTTTCTTTTTTTTCAATTGTTGTTAGAGAAATTTTTTTATAGCGACGGTCCCCGTGTGCTTTCGATAACACGACACCCCTGTCTTCACCTGAGGATGCAAGACACAATAGGTTCCCCCCTTCTAGCGAAACCCAATAAAACAAGTTTTGTTTTCCTTGGTATTATTTGTGTTTGCCTAAATTCTGCTGGCTTTCAAAAGAAACACATGGATGCGGGATACTATGAAGTTTCGAGGATAAAAACATTTGTTTCGAGGATAAAAACATTTGTTCTTTAAAGCTTTTCTTAAGGATGCCCTCTTTTGCTTGGATTATTTCGAAAAAATAGTTTTGAATAACAATTCGACTAATCTGCAACTGTATTTGGCTTTAAATTCAACGCTGTTAATGTGAAGGTAATCCCCGAATTGTGAGTTTCGTGTGCTAGAAAACAACATATTGAATCAGCTTTCAACATGGAAAGATGAAAATTTTAGCAGATATCAATGGAAGCTCCGATTGAAAATGCATCGGCTATTGGGGAACAAGAGATTCATTCGAGGCATTTAAAGCGTAATTAGCAATATGAATAAGTAGGTATACCTGAACTTTAGATAAGATTAAAGCCAGCGAGATATTTTTTTAGTCAATGTACGGCAAAGGTATTGGAGTCAAAGATTTTAATATAAAATATATTTTTTATAAGAAGGTAACAAAGACGACATGGTTGTTACAGGTTTATTTCATTTTGAGGGATTTCTGTTTTCTGGGGGTTCGTCTTTCAACAAGTACGAAATACACATCTGTAGCTTTGGGGTTTTTCAATGCCTTTCCTTTCCTAAACCAAGCAAATTTACTCTTCAAGTCTTTATATTTGTTTCTGAAAAGACCCACCTCCATCTAAAACTGCTGAATTATTGGCAAACTTGACAAAATTTCTGATTTTTATTAATATTTTCAATCAACTGTCAAAATACCACGGGAAATTGCCCGTTGCATTTACTTTAAAGATGTCCTGTATGCTGGGACCAAATGTTAGTTCGTTTTTTTATGTTTTCGTTTACTAGATCATTTTCTACGGTATTTGATTGTTCTTTGTCATTTTGCGCCATCCCTGCTTACCGTTGAAGGCCCCTGGCCCTTACTGATAAATTCACGTGACCTATCTACTCGTCTTTTGAAAAAGATGCAGTCCCTGACGCAGATAATTTACTATAACCTATGATACCCACCAGCTTATCCCTCCACTGTAGCCTGTAATAATCTCCTCCTCCCACCCACCTTTTGTCCAGGTCAATATTCATGTCCCTGCCATTAAAATCTATAAACTCCAACTTGGAATTGAGCAGAAAGAGGCAACTAAACACGGGTGTAGCTTGACGTGGTCTGCATAGTTGACAAGGATAAAGGTGCAAAGTGGCATTTCTAGAGACTTTAAGCTGGGTGATGAGCGGAGAGATTGTAAAAAAAGCTCAAACACTTTTTTTTATAAGAACCAGTAAATTTAAGTTCAGGCTGACTGTTCTTAATTTTTTCAAAAATCTGAGGCTGGATTGTTCTTAATTTGTTCTTAATCTAATAGAGTGTAAGCAGTGCGAGTGCTAGCTTTTTCGCTCTAGGGTGGTGTACAGGCCTCATTTGCCAACAAAGTGAGTGAAACAGCCTTAATTTGCTGACAAATTTGAATATTCACCGAAAAAAGCACCCATATATCCCTGAAAATCCTCGATTTTGAGATAAAACGTTGTTCAAAATTGCATTTTGCAGAAGCTCAGCCTCAGCTTGTTCTTAATTTGTTCTTAACTTTGACCAATTTTGAGGCTCGTGTTCTTATTAAATTGTTCTTATAAAAAGAGAGGTATTTAGGCTTTTAGCTTTTTCAATCTCTTAGTAGTGTATCAGCTGGCCCTGTCAGACTTGCCCCAGGAGATAGAATTGCTACAACCATCAACATTCAAATCAATGTGCTACAACCATCAAGTTGGGGGATACCAAGTATTTTGGCGAGATTGCGTGATCGGCGTATTTTCGATGCGTGAATCCATGAAACAAACTTTTATTATGCGTGAATGCGTGAATAAAATGACCTGTGAATGACCTGTGACTTATGAATTAGCATTACTCGTGGCGTGGTTGCGTAAAAATGAGTGCTGCAAGCGAATTTCGAGAAGGAGTGCTTACTTTTTTACCAGCAGAAAGTCTTGGTTTTCGGTACCAGACCAGGTAAATGTCTCTATTATTCAGAGATTCCAATGCCAATGGCTCTGCCAACAAGAAGTTTTTCCTATTAGATAATTATTAAAAATTCAGAGAGATTTTAGGGGGTGTGATCGTGAAATTAAATTTCCAGTACTGTGAAAGTGTGATGTGTAATTATTTTGTGTGTGATTGCGTGATTCAGGATGGATACCTGGTACCTCCCCCCCCCCACCCCCCCCCCAAGTCTCCAGCTGGACAAATAATATCCAGATCCTATTCTACAACTACATTCAAAACATACTAAAGGCAAATGTTTCATATTGCCAGGGGCTCTACCCCCTTAATGAAAACCCCCTTAATGAAAATTTTGACAACAACTTGCCCCCTCTGGCTACAGTTTTTCCACAGGATATTTTATATATATGTTACCTTTGTTCTTTTGTTTCGTATTCCTTATTTTACGCTCCAGATGTATGTGTTAGTTATTCTGAAGAAGCTTATAGCGAAACGTCAACCAAGTTGTTTTTTTATTGAGTATCTATATATATATACATATATATATTGCCAGATATGGAAACAATGCAGACAGGCTTTGCTGTTGATTTTATTTAAAAATCAGCTGGAAAAGAAACAAACAGAAAAATAGTGGATCCACCAAAAAAGCAACTGGCTTGGCATACAGTGTTACAGCCTCATTAAAATCAAGCCACAAAAAAAGATATTATTCCACTTGTTAGGGGAAGGACAAGTTGTAAAAGCTGAGAATGCTCCATGACTTTTTCCTCTAAAATTTAGATTACCTATAATTCTAACCCAATGGACTTAGGCTTCCCTAATCCAGCCCTCGAGCTTCATTACTTTGTGCAATGCATTTCTTCAAAGTAATTTTCATTGTGGAAACATTTCCATTTCTAACCACCTGGTCTCTTGTTAGGCTTAAAAATTTTTGTGTGGCGTCGGAATTTGCATACACTTAAAAACAGTTTGTAAAATTGTGGTGAGTGGTTCTGATGTGCAGCTGAAAAGGATTTCTAGCCTTGTTTGAATGGAGTATGGTGAAATTAAGAAAGAGAATGATTTAAACATTAAATTAAATCAGCACTGACTTTATTCCAAGATAAAAAATTTCGAAGGCAATTTAGGCTATTGAGTGAAAACAACAAATATTAGTTAGATAAAGAATTAATGATGCTTTATGTTATGCAGAAAGACAATTGGTAAATCCTTAATGGCTATCAAAAACAAAACAAGGGTAGCATCTGAGTTTGCAAATACTCCTTTTTAATCTAAAGCTAAATTCAAAGTAACGGTTTATCCTTATCAAACCATGTTTCCTATGACGGACAGTTAAATGGTATTTGGTTATATGACGCTTTGGCTACAAGCAATTTGACCATATCTTATTATGATTTTATCAAGAGGAGTTTTATGACACAGAGAAGCTAGTATGCTTATCAAGCAGTATCCTGATCCTTCCTCTCCATGTGACCACGTCTCATGACTCCTACACCTGAAACTGGAGAGAGCTGGTGACTCCCATAACCCCAGGTGAACATCTGATCATGTCAGGGACTCAAAACCCAGAGCCTTGTACCAGGAGTCTGAGAACCTAACTACTGAGCCATCCATGCACCTTCTCTCCCCTCCTGGCACCAAGCCCAATCTTAAGTAAGAAATATATTACCTGTTTGTGCAGCAATGTGTATCGGCATCCTGTATCCATACTCCTCATCTTGGTCATTGATACCTGAAACTTTGCCAAGGCGGACATGTGCTTCTAGTTGTCTAACATCACCTGCAGCTGCTAATTCATGCAGGGTCAAGTCTGTTAGCATCTCTTCTTGACACATCATGAACCATCTTGTAATTAAAGAAAAATATTTAGTTTGATAATTACAGGTTACTCTAAAGGGGGAAAGCTTTTTGAGGTGTTGTTAACTTACAGATGATTACTTGCATGTATCTAAAGAGAAACATATTTTTTGGTGCTTAGGGTCTGGGTGCACTGGGATTATTATTTTAAAACTTGAAATTACAAGAAAAACTTATTCCACTTGGACAAACAGTGAGGGTATCTCAGCTGTTATTAGTTGGTCTTGCTAGAGCATCTAAGGTAAATGACAGAATCTTTGAGGGATAAGGCCAAAGTTGACAATCTAGCAAGAACAAATTTTGCTGGTTAGCTTACGTACCAGATTAACATCTATTGTTTGAAGACAATAGGGATGATGTTTGTCAGGATTGGGTAATGTTTCAAGTGCTAGTGGGCTTGGTTAGGCCCATACAGCAATACACAAAATTATGGAGCAAGGGCACCTAAAAACGTTAAAAATGCAGTTTTCCACCAAGGTTGAGCATAAGATGCTTGAAACATAGAAGCAGAAAGGGGTGAAAAGTCCCTATCTTAAAATGGAGGCAGCAGGGGAAGAATATATTTGCTTAGAAATACAACCAAAATGTGCACAATTGACAAATTTGGTGCCCTTTGAAGTTGCAAGTTTGCTCCATGCCATTTTCTGGTGCAGGTGTACCTGTGAGCATTGAATGAAGAAACAAAAATGGCACATGCTAATTTTCTCAAGGGTCCCTACATCTTTGGTGCTAGCATCCCTATTGATCGTGACATAAAAAGTCCTTTAATATTTTTGTTTCTGTTGCACTCCCTGCTTCTCACAATGATACTTTTCAAATGTTTGGTTGGGAGATACCATGCAATTTCTATGATTATTTACTTGAAATTTTTACAGCTCTTTCTCTGAAGCTACAGGAAAAGCACTTTAAGAGACGGGAGAGCATGGCTCTATCCCCAACAGCCTTCCACTTTTCAAGGGTTACTATCCCTGCATTTTGTCTTATTCATAAGAACATACAACACAACATGTAATTCCCTTTGGGTACATTAGTGAAATGAAAAAATACATGGTCTCCGGTTAAAAACACAGAGTGACAAACTTGGCCTAACATTACCCTCGATGACTCCACACCCTTATAGTAGATTTTTTTTATTTAACAATGCAGGCCATCAAAATGGCAGCTTTCGCTGGATGTGTACTGTCTGCGGTGAAACAAAACAAAAAACATTTGCAAACGGATTAAAATTGATGAGCAACATCAACCAGTTAATTTCTAAAGCAAATTTAAAAAGAAG